TCCAACGACATCAAGTAGAATTATTGAAATGCTGTGAGGGGCGCGGCGTGCGGAGACGGTATCAACTCTGTCTAGATAATAATGGGCAGCAGTCTGAACATTTAATGTAGTCTTTGTGTTTTTATTTTTTTTTATAGTAACTGAGAAGTCCGATTGAAGTAACCTCTTGAGTTTATATTAAAATATGTTTTTTTGTTTCTGTCACACTTATTATTTTTTATTTGCTTCGTATTGTTCAATTTTATTTAATTGCTAATTCATGTATTCGGCTCCGAGGACATTATTATATTGATTTTCTTCATCTTGGTTTTTCTTCACGCGGGTTTTGAAAAGATCCAAAATTGATTAATCTATCTTCTAACCTTTTAAAAATGGCTGGGTTTGGTTGCTCGCGCTCTTGATACCTTTCACAATATAAATCAGCTGCCATTTGCTTATGTTTGTTAGACTCAATATAACATTTTTCTATTGTTTAAAATACACACACTTCAATCTGTTAAAATGAAATGTCCCGCATCCATCAAAGGTATGTTCCGATCACCATGACAACCCTTTACTTTGTTACTCGGCGCTGCCTACTATCTTCTAAGTGGATATTTTAAGAAAAATTTGAAATGTTGAGGTTAATAGTGAAAATAAATATATAAAGAGTGTTATATATTTTCGAGAAGCCCATGCCAAGCTCAATAAGAAAATTTAAAAATATACAGGGGGTTCTATTTAAAAAAAAAAACATAAGTATAGTTAATATTTCAAAAAATATTTTTTTCGAAAAAAGTCTGACTGCGCCACTGTATTCTACACAGAAAAGTGCCTTTAGAATGTATAATTAATTTTTCCGTGGTTGCTGAAATAAACAAACTATCGAACGTCTTCAAAAAGTACAAAATTTGAGAATCCCCCTGTAGCTTCGAAACCGATCTAGATAGTCATGATCCGTTTGCGCCATTATATTTTTTTCAAAAAAAGAACCCGAGACTGCAGTATCAAAATTTGAATATTTCTCACCGTTTCCCAGATACCCTATAGAAACAACCAAAATGGTCCACCCCCTACAGCGCCCGCCCTGACAGTCAAACTGGGGATTTGCATGGGATTTCCAATGTCCCGTGTTCCTATGCATTACCCGGTATAATTTGAGGTAAGTTTTTGTGTATGAATTTCAAGTCTATGACGCATCATTTTTGGAATAAAAACGATAGAATAACTATAAGAATGACAGCACTTAAATATTTTTTTCTCAACAAAAGGCATTGAATTTGAGAGTACACGTGGAAGTGTGCACTTATTGAAGAACGTCACTGCGAGGAAGCGCTGTATTTGCTAAATTCTCACTGCGGCACGTATCTCTGGAGAATCTTAATAGCGTTTATAACGTTACGAATGTTTTCTTAATCTTCGAATATTTAAATTCTATATTCAGTTTTCTCGGTTTCGTCTAATGTAGAAATCAAGTCGGCGATTCAATTATAATTTTAAGAAAATATAACTGACGTGTAGTATTTATAGCAAAATGGCTTTTGTTCTCAATGCATACAGTGTATCCCGCTTTTACACAAAAATCGTTTATCTATACTAGTTTTCTGTTTGTAGTAAAGGTAATTCTGTATGAAAATTATGCAAATCATTAAGTAACGCAGAACAAAATTCAAAGGCAAACGAATGAAAGTCCGCATTTTTCTTGGACAACATTTGGTTGATTTTTTTCAAGTCTTAAAAACCACAAGGCGTTTCTAGAGTAATACAATACCAATTTCATTCTTTGATATACGGGTATTATTAATTTTGATTAAAGTCATATTTTTTGCTGTTGTTAAAATATCATATTTTCCTTTAACTATTGTCACACTTTCCGTAGCATTGATCTAAATAAATTTTGTGCATCTTTAACATGTTAAAATGCAACTATTTGAAAAAAGGCAACTATATTTGCATGTTTTATTTTTTTTTCATTTGGAAAATTACCTATAAAAGTAATTAACCATTTTAAAACAAGCAACATTTTTTTATCAAAAATGTTTCCTCTTTCAAAGACAATCCGGGACAGCCTCTCAGACAATCCAGGGTGGCGCCTCTCATATGCCGCGGAGGCTCCAAGGAGAACGACAGTTTGTATTGAAATGAAATTTTGTGAGCATGTGTAGGTTAATTTAGAGCACTTTTTAAAAATATAGAGATTTCTACAGAGTGTCCCAAACCAAAACAAGTTATATTACACATTACACAAAGTTAACCATTACACAAAGTTGTGTTTTTTGTAATGGAACACTCTATATATTAATTGATGTTTGGATTCTGGGAGAAAAAAAAAGGTGAGTTTTATAAGAAAAGTATATGACTAAAATGTAAGGTTTTTGACATATTTAACATTTTCTAGAAATAAAGAACAATTTTTAAATTATAATAAAAGCTACCTAACTGGGAATTTACCCGGTATAGCCTAATATGTAGTTAAATTAACTATTGTACTTTAAATCAAATTAAAACTTAGTCCAAAAAGTTATACAGGGTGAGACAAAATTAATATTGAACATTAGTCACCTTTAAAAGCATGTTACTCGTTTATTTTAAATGGATCATCCAGTATATTATTCCGATATTTAATGGAGAATTCATGTCTCTTCAAAATACTATTAAGGTTGCCTACCCCTCAAACAAGATTTTCCTAGATATTTTCATTTACGTGATTTGATCTGAGTAGATCTTTTATTATTATATAATAATATTATAAAATCTAGGTGGTTGTGACATGTCTGACGTTACTTCAACTTTGCTGTCTAATTAGTCCAACTGTAATAACTAGTTATCATTTTGTGTCAGTTAAAACAAAAAAATTTCTCAGAAATTTGCCGAAAATGCAATCTTATCCTACATCAGAGAGAATTGATATGATTCTATTAGATGGTGAATGCAGTGTGACATGAATTCTCCATTGAACACCGGAAAAATATACTGGGTATTTCATTTAAAATAAAGGAGTTACTTGCTTTTAAAAGTGACTAATGTTCCATATTAATTTTGTCTCACCTTGTATAACTTTTCGGGTCAACTTTCAATATAGTTTAATATACAATAGTTACTGTAATTAAATATCAGGTTATACAAGGTCAACTAAAATTTAGGAAGCTGTTATCGAAATTTCAAATTTACTCTTCATTTTCACAAAATGTGAAATATGTCAAAATCCTAGATCCTAAAATTTATTTTTTTCCTAGAATCCGAAAATCAATTAATATATAGGGTATTCTATTAGAAAAAACACAATTTTGATGTGTAACTTTTTTGGGGACACCCTGTATAATTCTATATATTTTTATAAAATATCAGTTAACCTACATTTGCTGCCAAACTTTCATTTCGATATAAACTACCGTTCTCCTTGGGGCTTCCGCGGCGTATGAAATCAAACTTTAGACGTTTTCGCTTAAAAAAATATAATATTTTAAGTTTCAATCTAGAGTGCCACGACAATTTGACTCAAAATACAATCCAGTTTCTAAGTATGTTAATGAGTCACCGTTCAATTTAAAAAAATCGAGTTATGATATATAAAAATACGGTGTTGGCTTCTTTTAACCGGCCTGGAACAGACACGAAAAACACTAGACGATCAAATCTATTTTTTGATTTGATTTTTCTTTGATTAAAAATTAGTAGTTTTAATATAGTCATAACCTTCCGTCAGTATCGTAACTTTTGCGGAAGTTGTAAAAATCATATTTTATACAAAATTACTCTATTTGGTACTTTCAGATTCTTGTAAACAATATGTGACATTGAATTTTACAATGACCAAATCACATTTTTGCTGGTACTTTAATTGTAGCTTTCTCTGGGTCGTATTATAAAATATTAGTATTTTGAAGGCAGATTTTTGCAAATATCATTAAAATATATTTTTTTTAATTTTGTTTTCCAAATGAAACAAAATTTTAGATGAAAGTACAACTTTAACGCCTCTTCAAAGAAGTCTAATATAACTTTTGCATAAAATAATCTGGGGAGATAATATTTGACATTTTCAAAATTTAGATGGGATTTCCTATGTCCCGTGTTCGAATGCATCACACGGTATATTTCATTTCAAATATTTCTTTCTTTATTTTTATCCGTAAAAATAATAATTCCACGCTTATATATGAAAAAAATCTGCTATTGACACATTGATTGAATTAGAAGGAAAGATATCTGTTAAAAAACTGGAAAAATATCGTATTATATTTATATTACTTCGGGACAAAATAACCGTTTTATCTCCGTTTCCAAATTTATCTTCGTATATATTTACCGGTCGTCGTCTGGCACAGATGCGTTTTGTTGTCCCGATCCTTTGTTCTACTTGGATGTTGAAAGGTGGTCTTTTGTTGGGGACACTCGTCTCAGCCTACATAGGTCCATTATTGAAGATTTTCAATAGAGAAAGGTGACCAAATTTAATAAAAACTGATATTTTGGTGGAGTTATTTTACCTTGAGTAATAAAGGGAAATCCAAAATGGGCGAATTGTATAGTTTTATAAATATAAAAAAGAAGAAAAACTATCGGAATAGCCCTCAGGAAGTTAATAACCACCGCAAATGTCTATGAAAGCGTTAAAAATTTAGAATTTAGGTTTTTAATTTTTTTTTATTAATAAGCACTTTAAATACAAAAAAAATTCTGCATCTAAACAAAAAATAACATATATACAGCGTGTTGCATTTAAAAAAAATGAGACATATACACTATGAAACAAAAGTAGAGAAACTCGTCGGATTTCAAAAACCTCCAATATTTAAAATAATGTTCTTCGCAATAAAATAATCGCACATCGGAATGGTATACGGCAAATGGACATAAGCACAATGTTTAATTTGCATAAGTCTGTCATTAGCAAAACGATTTCCAATTTCAAAACTCGCAATTCCTTAAAGACTATTAAAAAAAATGGTCGGCCAAGGAAAACACCGAAAAAAATTGAAATGATAGTTAAAATAATCGCCTATCTAATACTGTGAATAATTATTTGTGCTATACGTGGCAACTGCGCCGTCTCTAATTATTTGTGCTATACGTGGCAACTGCGCCGTCTCCATACATCGTCGCATTGCGGCGGTAGCCGAAGAAGAGCGAGGCCCCCAGGCAGGAGTCGAGCACAAGACGTTAGACCAAACGCGTCGTCTTTGTTTTTTAATTTCGACTCGATGTTTTATAAGGAGACAATAATTTTTGTTTAGTTAGTTGTCTCAAAGTTTGTAATTTCAAGTGACAATAAACCGAAAGTATACAGTCCACTGAACATTTTATTTCGTCGATGGTTTATTTGTTTCCTTAAGCCAAGGGGAAATTACATTTTGGTCACTTCGTCCGGATAATTGGATTGGAATTTCGTCGTCGACTTGCTGTGCTGCAAGAGCTGCCTGCCGCCATTTTGGATCGTTGAACCGGCGTTCGGTCGGTAAATAAGGTGGGTCCATTCCAAATTATTTCCTTTTTCTGCTTCCTTGTAGTTGTTGGCAATTTTCGTTACTATCAATAGTGTAATTAGTTGTTTTTCGTCGTTTTACTCATTTCGGGGTAAATATTTTGTTGATATTATTTCGCCTATTGATAATTTTGATCGTTTCGTAAGCCTGATTTTTGATTTTCGTAAACATTATGAGTGTAGTAGTCGAAAACATGGATGTCCTTATTCGAAAACGTGGATCATTTAAGGCAAAGGTCACTCATTTTGAAAAGTACGTCGCAAATTTGGAAAACACGTATCCAGACAAAATCGTGTCGGATCGCGTTGCATTTTTAGACTTGGAAACGCGTTATGAACGGTTTTCACAGGTTTTTGATGAATTTGAGTTAGTGCAAAACGAAATCGAAGAGTCTTGTGATCTTGCTTCGATAAATTCGCAGTATGAGGAACGCGAAATTTTTAATAATGCTTATTTTAGGTTGATGGCCAAGGCTAAATCATTTCTTGCGGATGATAGTGTAGATAACGTGAAAAGTAGTGGTAGGTCCGTTGCGGGTTCGGTAGCCACGCAAAATACAAATATTTCGCAAAATTTGGTTCAGGATTTTAAACGAGTTAAACTTCCAACCATCGAGATTCGCACTTTCACAGGTGAATACGGTAAGTGGTTAGAGTTCCGTGATACCTATGTATCGTTAATTCACGAAAATGATGCCTTATCGGACATACAAAAATTTCATTATTTAAGATCATTTTTGGCGCCTAAAGTGTTGGAAGTTATCGCGAGTTTAGGGTTTACAGGGACAAATTACGAGGCTGCGTGGAACTTAATCTACGGTTGTTATAATAATAACAAAATTTTGATTCAAAATCATCTTCGCGGTTTATTCACGTTAGACAAGATTCAGGAAGAATCTCCTTCGGTGCTAAGAGACTTAGCAGATAATGTGGATAAGCATATAAGATCTTTAAATGCTCTTGGGGAAGACACCACTAATTGGGACACCTTGTTAATTTATCTCGTTTCGTCTAAATTAGATTCCATGTCACTAAAAAAGTGGGAAAGTGCCAAAGGTGAGGCCAAAAAATCGTTGTTGCCAGATTTGACTAAATTTCTTCGAGATCGAGCCAATTTTTTGGAATCGTTAGAGCAGGCAAAACCTGACAAAAAGTCAAATTCGAAATTTAGGGCAGGGATGGAATCCAAATATAATAAGCAAGGTAGTTCAAGGTCTTTTGTTGCGACAGGGCAATCGTGTTGCTATTGTAAAAAGGAGCATTTCATACAAAACTGTCCAGATTTTGTAAATTTAAGTGTGAATGAGAGAATTCAGGAAGCGAAAAAATTGCGTTTGTGTTTGAATTGTTTGAGAGCTGGGCATGTTTTAAAAGATTGTCGTTCGATTGTTTGTAAAATTTGTAAGTTTCGGCACAACGTGTTGTTGCACATAAATCGAGAAAAGGCGGCGGAAACGACCGCTGCCGCTGCTACCAGTTCCTCTACTACAGAAAAGGAGGAAACTGTGAATTGTAGCTTCGCTTCGCATAAAAATGATGGTGTTCTTTTGTCAACTGCGGTAGTTAGGGTCTTGGGAAAAAACAATAAATGGGTTACAGCACGCGCTTTATTGGATCCTGGATCGCAGAGTAGTTTTTTGTCAAGGTCATTTGTGGACAAGCTTTCAATACCTGTAACTAAAGTAAATATCAACATTTGTGGTTTGAACGAAACTGAGTCTGCGGTTTCTGGAAAGGTGAATGTTAAGGTCCAATCCCGTATAAATGACTTTTCGTTGGAATTATCCTGTTTTGTTATCCCTCTCGTTACAGGGTCGTTGCCCAATTTCAAGGTCGACAGTCAAAATTTGAATATTCCTGCAAATGTTTCGTTGGCAGATCCTACATTCTGCACAAGTGGTCCTGTTGACATGCTGATTGGAGCCGATTCCTTCTGGGATTTGTTATGTGTAGGCCAGATCAAACTAGGGCCCAATGGACCATTTTTGCAGAAAAGCAAACTCGGATGGATAGTGTCAGGAAAGGTGGCTCGGCTAAATAACTTGGAGGGGTACAACAGTTTGCAATTTTGTTAAAACTGAGCAAATAGATAGGCAGTTATCGCGGTTTTGGGGAAATAGAGGAAGGCGTGGTTAGAAAACCACAATCTGTCGAGGAAATTGCCTGTGAGAAACATTTCGTCGATACGTTTTCTCGAGCGGCCAATGGAAGTTTCGTTGTTTCAATGCCTCTCAAAGGGCAGCCTAAGCCAGCTCGGCGAATCGTATAATGCAGCCAAAAAGCAATTTCTATCCTTGGAACGAAAATTCGAGCGCGATCATGAGTATCGTGATTTGTATCGTGATTTTGTCAATGAGTATCGACGCCTAGGACATATGACAAAAGTGTCCAATCCTAGTGCATCTCAGTTTTCGTTTTACCTTCCTCACCATGGTGTTCTGAAGTTGTCCTCGTCTACTACCAAACTTCGAACTGTTTTTAATGCCAGTGCCAAAACCACCAGTGGTTGCTCGCTAAATGATGTTTTGATGGTTGGTCCAACCATTCAGTGTGAACTTATCTCTATTTTGTTGCGCTTTCGTAAATTTCAGTACGTTTTGGCGGCTGATATTGAGAAAATGTATCGTATGGTGTGGATCGATCCTAGTCAGCGGTGCCTGTTACGAATCCTGTGGCGTGACAGTCCAGACGAAGATATCGAGGTGTACGAGTTGAACACTGTTACATATGGGACTTCATCGGCGGCTTTTCTCGCCATTAGGTGCTTGTACCAATTGGGAATCGAATTTGAAGAAGTTTCTCCGTTAGTTGCCAATATAATAAAGAATCATTTTTATGTCGATGATGTACTAACTGGTGGGGATACTATTGAAGATACCCTCAGTTTAGCTAACGAACTTTGTAAAGTTCTAAAAGGTGGTGGTTTTCTTCTTCGCAAGTGGGTGTCAAACGAACCCTCTATACTCAAGGAAATCGAATCTGCAGATAACAATGGAGTAGTTGATATTGGTTGCATGGAGAATAACAAAACATTAGGTATGCGTTGGAACGGCGAAGGAGATCATTTTTTCTTTTCGATTGGAAATCAGTCAAGTTCCAAGGTCACCAAAAGAATCGTATTGTCAGAAATCTCTCAAATTTTCGACCCTCTTGGTCTCCTTAGTTGTTGCGTAATCTTGGTAAAGATTTTTCTTCGTGATCTTTGGTTGGAAAAGTTAGATTGGGACGATGCCCTTTCCCAGCAATTATATACAAGATACTTACAGATTCGTAATGATTTAAGATTTTTGAACAATTTGAAAATTGATAGGAAAGTCATTTGTAAGAATGCAAAGCTTGTAGAGCTGCATGTATTTTCGGACGCGTCGTCTTATGCTTTGGGAAGCTGTGTTTATATTCGAACGATCGATAATCATGGTAATATTTTTGTCAAGCTTTTGTGCGCTAAATCAAAGGTTGCTCCCTTAAAAATACAGACAGTCCCGCGTCTCGAGCTTATGGCAGCTGTGTTAGCTGCACGTCTCTGTGAAAAGGTTCGGCAATCCATGGAAATTGAGTTTAATAGCATCACATTTTGGACCGACTCGACGATAGTTTTGGGCTGGATAAACACCTCTCCGCATTTGTTGCAAGTTTTCGTCGCCAATAGAGTTAATTCGATCCAAGAGCTCACAAATATTGAAAATTGGAGGCATGTGCGAACCCAGGACAATCCAGCTGATTGTGTGTCACGTGGCATGAAGCCTCAGGAGTTGTTAGAGTTCGAAATGTATTGGTCAGGACCAGATTGGCTTCGAGAATCCATAGAAAGCTGGCCTGAGCCTCTTGTAGTGTCCAGATCTAACGAGTTGCCTGAATTAAAAAGGGTCGTTGTTGCAAATACATCTACGTTAGACTCTGAGTTTATAGATTTGTCTAGGTTTTCCAATTTAACTCGATTGGAACGAGTGATTGCCTACTGTATTCGTTTTATAAATAATTGTCGTAGAAAAGAGGATGAAAGGTTATCGAGTTCTTTAAGTTGTGATGAAATAAGTCATGCGTCCTTAGTATTAGCTAGGTTGTCACAACGTCAATCATTTTCCGAAGATCTTGTAACATTGTCCAAGCAAGGGCAAGTTAGTAATAAAAGTAAATTAATAAAGCTTCATCCATTTTTAGATGAAAACGGTTTAATTCGTGTCGGCGGACGTTTAAACAACTCAGATTACGTATATGAGAAAAAACATCCTATTGTGTTGTGTTCAAAACATGTTTTTACTAGGCTTTTATTCGCTCGTGAACACAAACGGCTACTGCATGCTGGCCCACAGCTCTTATTAGCTGTTATTCGGGAAAATTATTGGCCCATAGCAGGACGTAGTTTAGCTCGTAAAGTTTTCCATCAATGCGTAATTTGTTTTCGAAATTGTCCCAAAGAAATTAGCCCGGTGATGGGTGATTTACCAAAGCGGCGGGTCACACCATCTCCTCCATTTTACGTAACTGGCGTAGACTACGCTGGTCCCTTCCTAATCAAGGATAGACAGGGACGCGGCTGTCGCACTTCAAAGGCTTATATTGCGGTGTTTGTATGCTTTGCCACAAGGGCTCTGCATTTAGAGTTGGTAAGCGCTTTAACCACAGAAGCCTTTCTAGCTACTTTGAAACGCTTTGTAGGTCGGCGGGGAAAACCTGCACAAATGTACTCAGACAACGGTACAAATTTCCAAGGAGCTTATAATGAGTTATCTAAATTAGCGAATTTTTTACAGAATAATGCAAATTCAATTGTCGAAGCTATCGAGAATAAAGGCATCTCATGGTCATTCATTCCAGCTAGTTCTCCACACTTTGGTGGGTTGTGGGAATCGGGCGTACGAACGGTCAAATATCATTTGAAACGCGTTGCGGGAAACGCATTATTAACTTTCGAGGATCTGAGTACGCTATTGATAGAAATTGAGGCTGTCCTCAACTCGCGTCCCATGAGTCCTTTATCTTGTGATCCCTCTGATTTGACACCTTTAACTCCCTCCCACTTTTTGATTGGCCGACCTATGGAATCTGTACCAGATAGAGATTACACGGCAGTACCAACCAATCGCTTATCCCACTTTCAACGAATTCAGCAAATGAAAGGACATTTTTGGACCAGATGGTCGTTGGAATACATATCCGAATTGCAGAAAAGGCAGAAGTGGACAACGCAACAAGGCGTACTTGAGGCCAACGATTTGGTGTTAGTCAAGGAGGACCACCTGCCTCCCCTCCAATGGTTGCTTGGACGAATAGTGGAGATCCATCCAGGAAAGGACGGAGTCGCTCGTGTCGCCACCATCAGAATAAAGCAAGGCACTATCAGGCGTTCATTTACTAAAATTTGTCCCTTACCTAAGTGTATTGGCTCTAGTAATAGTTAAGTGTTGAAAGATGCTCTAGACTTTCAAGGCGGGGGGCAATGTGAATAATTATTTGTGCTATACGTGGCAACTGCGCCGTCTCTAATTATTTGTGCTATACGTGGCAACTGCGCCGTCTCCATACATCGTCGCATTGCGGCGGTAGCCGAAGAAGAGCGAGGCCCCCAGGCAGCAGTCGAGCACAAGACGTTAGACCAAACGCGTCGTCTTTGTTTTTTAATTTCGACTCGATGTTTTATAAGGAGACAATAATTTTTGTTTAGTTAGTTGTCTCAAAGTTTGTAATTTCAAGTGACAATAAACCGAAAGTATACAGTCCACTGAACATTTTATTTCGTCGATGGTTTATTTGTTTCCTTAAGCCAAGGGGAAACTACAAATACGCATAAATCGGCAAATCAAATTTTGAGTGAACTACCTGGTGTCAATATAAGCTTTAAGACCATCCAAAGAAGGCTAACGGAAGCAGGATTATTTAGCAGAAGAGCAGCCAAAAAACACTCATTAGTAAGAAGAACCAGAAGGCCCTTACCTTTGCAAAAACGAATATTTGCACTGGATTGCATGACTGGAAAAAGGTCTTGCTTTCAGATGAAAGCAAATTCAATATATTTGGATCCGATGGCATATTGTAGATACATAGCCCAGAAGGTAAAATATTTGACCCAAAGTATTTTAAGGCCACTGTAAAGCATGGTGGTGGATCCTGCATGGTGTGGGGATGCTTCTCGGGCTATGGCATGAGAGCACTGCATGTAATAAAAGGAACAATGGGTCGATTTATGTATTTGGACATCTTAAAGAAAGGGATCGTGTAATGCCAATTTTGTAACAGCCTTTTTTTCCTAGAGAGCTATTACTAACGCCTAACAGTCGGTCTTTTTGTTCTCGGGTGCCACCCCCCAAAGTTTAAAGTGTTTGAGAGACCACCTCGGCCAATACGGGTAATGGAGAGTCCAGGGAAATGGGATAAAAGCCAGTTAAAGTCGAATATATTCCATAACGAGGTTTATTTAAATAAATTAATTATGAATCCAATATCTTCAAATAAATAAAATATGAAGAAAATATTAAAACATGAAATATCGCAAAGTCTAACACAGAGAAATTAAATCAGTTAATTACAATAGCAAATAATCAAATTCATATGATTTAAATTCAAACCTGTAAAGACATATTATTATAGGAAATACTAGCAATACATATTCACATGCATCTTTAAATAAATCAAATACGTAAGAAATATTATCATGGTGAAACAAAAGAAGAACCTTAATTAACTCCTCCTCCGTAAAGGAATTTTATACCATAAAAATAAAATAAAAACTCTACTGTGCTGAAACTAAAATTTGCGATTACTAGAATGCTGATGGGGTATCTGGCGGTTACAAAAAAAAAAAGAAAGCGATTACCTTTTTTTCTGAAGGAAATCGGCGTCGGATCAAACGAAACGGTCTGGTTTTCTGAATCGCCTACAGCTGCCCGGAATCCGGTCACACTAATTATTCACGGCCAGGTATAAAGAAAACTTAAGAAAATCGGCGTCGGATCAAAACGAAACGGTCTGGTTGGCTATTCACGGTCAGGTATAAAAAAAACTTAAATGCTCGGTTTTTAACTATCTATACTCATAAATCAGAAATACGGTTTAGACTTATTTTCAATCAAATCTCTGCGACCACGATTTATACTTCTTTAAAATCAAAAACGTAGATACGGTACTTTTACTTTAAAACTCAAGAATTTGGTTTTTACAGCAGCGCTGATAAAAAAACGGATCAGACTTGCGAGGTTTACTTAGAAAAGATCACCGGTACTTAGTCTCAACAGGAAGGCCCCCATAAATCGAAAGTCTTACAAGAATGGTTTTTGTCTGAACAAATTAGGGTTATGGATCTCCTGCCCAAAGTCCTGACCTTAACCCCATTGAAAACCTGTGGGAGAAACTAGATCGCCGGGTAAGAAAGATTTGATAAGAATTTTGAACAAGATACCATAAGAAGACTATTGGACTCCATGCCAAAACGATGTCGTAAAGTTATAGCTAATCACATAAACTCACAATAAAATGGCCTCAGTCAAAAGTTAACAAAAAGACACAATTTTAAAAAGTTTCTCTACTTTTGTCCGATAGTGTAGTATTTTAAAAATTGCGATTTTGACGATGCCATAAAACTTATCCTGTATAATATAATGTAAATTTTCCTTGGCGGAGTTGTCCTGTTATCCTTGGTGTTTAGAAAAATATAGAAAAGTATTAATAAAGTTAAATTCACTGTACTTTTTAACCACTTTTCGGATATAGTGTATTTAACCAAAGTTTAAGTAAATATGAAATAGAACGTCAACATCGCAGTGCTGGAAACAAGAATAGCGTGCTATATGCAGAATTTTATGCTGAATCTAAATCTGTACAGAAAACTCGGGGTTGCAGTTTGAAAAAAACTTTATTATAACTTTTTTTCGGACACCTTGTATACAATAAAATATTTTTAGGATGTGCACCTTTATAAACCATGATTATTTTTTTTTCTAATCTTCGACTATGACGATGATATTGGAGTTCCTCGTACTAATAGGCTACTCTGTATTTAATCAATTAATTGCCTTTATTCGCATTTAGTTTGAGTTACTTCATATTATTTGTTTCCAGAAGAACACTTTATTTTAGTTACATTTTTGTGTAATAACCATTTGGCATTTATGCAAAGCGAAAGTCACCGGCAAAGGTATAAATCGTTTAAGATTCGCTGCAAAATCAAAATTGGAGAGAAAATTAAAAAACGAAGAAATAACGTTTGCTTTGAGTACAGCCTTTCTCGCAGGAAATTAAAGTGGAGTGCCATTAAAGTATAAAAATGTCCTATCAATCCTGCCCGAGCGCCTAGGTGCTAATGGTAGAGACATGCAAAGGGTGGGCAAAATTACCCTCCGAAATCGATATATTTCAATATCGGCGATGTTTTTTATTGTGGCGCCAGAGTAGACTGTAAATTATGAGCCCCGTTTATATAGTTTATATATTTTTAAAGTTTTTTTTTAATGTATCTAGGTATACACCTGCAATGCACTTGTACTAAACAATACTAGATAATAAAAAGGTTTTATACAGGGTGAGTCTTAAATAAGTGCAAATGTTTTTAGAAGTACATTTCAAGACAGAAACACGATTATAAGGCTTTTCTCGCGAAAAAAAAATAAAAATTTGAAATTTTTTAAAAAAAGTTTTGGTTATTTTTTTTAGTTTTTAGTTAAAATCCATAATTTTTTGATAATATGACAACATAGGTACCAGATTAAATTAACAAAAAAGAAAACTCAGGAAAGATCCTGTGGTTCTCAAAATGTAAGCTAATTTTTTTTGGAAAATTTCCATAACTCGGTTATTAAGTATGTTTCTTTTATCGAGATAACCCTGAACCTCACCCTGTATACAGTATGTCCCCAGATTGTCTTTAAAAAAGAAAAAACTTTTTTATTAATGACATTTTGAGAAAGATTCATAAAAAAATTCATACATAAAAATTCATTTCATTTTTCATAAAAAGTTTTGCTTCTTCTAAAATGATTAATCCCGTTTATACTTTTCCAAATATCCATACCGTTTTAGAGAAAATAACAAAAAAAACGTGAAAATGTAGTTGATTGTTTTCTAAGTCATAAAAATCAAAACGCGTTTCTATGATAATATAATTTCGTTTTCATTCTTTGATGGATTGTTGTTGATAGAATTTTAATTAACGTCATATTTTTGCTGTTTAAAATGTTAAAAAAGCACAAAATTTATTTAGTTTAATGCTATGGGAAAAGAGATAGTAGTTATCGAAAAATGTGATACTATAACAACAGCAAAGAATATGACCATTAATCAAAATTAATAATAACTATCTATCAAAAAATGAAATCAAGATTATATTACCATAGAAACGCCTTTTTATTTTTAAGACTTTAGGAAAAAAATTCTACCATATTTTCATGTTTTTTCTAATTTTCTCTAAAACGGTATGGAAATTTGGAAAAGTATAAACGGGATTAACCATTTTAGAACAAGCGAAATTTTTTATGAAGAATGTATTTTTTTTCAAAATGCCAACAATAAAAAAGTTTTTCCTTTTAACTTTCCTTGTAAAGACAGTCCGGGGACATACTGTATATGATCAAACCCAATAGCAAAATAAAACACTAGTTCACTTACACAGTGCCATACTCTATACAGAGCGTCGGCTACCTCTCGCATGTACTTGTAATGTGTGTCATCAACCAAACCAAACCAAACCAAACCTACAGTTTATCGCCGAATCCGAACGGCACTATTTTAGAGGCTGTACAAGGCAAACACATTCAAGGTGGTTTGCCATTGCCTTCCTTGAGGTGGCGGCTCGTTGGTCGCTCTATTTAGATAAAAGAAATATTTTCATTTAAATAAATAAAGCGACCGTACTGGCTGGGGATCGAACCCAGTACCTTCCGCTCCGCAGATCGATACACTACCGCTGGAGCTACGACCGGCCACGTGTAGTGTAGTTCACTACACTACACAAAACAATTTCGTTTTAACACTGGACGCGCGTTTTGCTAAGTTAAGATGTTAGCAGTGTTGCCAACTTTTTGAAATAGAATTTACCACGAAGACGGTCAATATTTCCTGTTTTTAATTTTCCACGAGCTCTCAAATCCAATATAGTGTCATCAACACAATATTACGATATACGATATAATATGTTTTTTAACTAAACATTTCAAAATTTTCCAAACAAATTACGAAATATACTTTTCAATTTTTTTTTCGCGCAAAAAAAACTCATAGGCCTGTTAATTACACCAAAATAAGCTAGCTTCCTTAGTACATACGGAATGAGTGATATATAATCAAAATCTGGCCCAAATATATATTTTCTCTCCGCCAAAACAATTTTAAAAGATGTGTCTCTCGATTGACGAATTTTTCTTTACCTCCGTACTACTTACTGACTTTAAAGTACGAAGAAGATTGTTTTCAA